AAAACGAGCGGGGAGGAAGTGTGGACAGACAGAAACTGGCAACCCACCTGGCGTTGCCATCGCTGTAGACAGGCTCGTGAGTCAACGTGGTCTTGCCCTGCAGCCAGCACGCACAGTGACAGGCACAGGCACAGAGGCAGAGACAGGCACATGCACAGGCACACGCACAGGCACAGGCACAGTCACACGCACGGGCACAGGCACAGGCACATGCACAGGCACACGCACAGGCACACGCACAGGCACACGCACAGGCACACGCACAGGCACACGCACAGGCACAGGCACAGGCACAGGCACAGGCAGAGCCACACACGTCAGAGCAGAGCTAGCCGTAAGAGTTTGATGCAAAACTAGAGCATAGCAGAGCCGCATGCGAAAGGGCAAGTGGGCAGATGGAGGAGGAGATTAGAGAAAGGGGAAGGGGCGTACATCGAGGTAGGCGAAGGTGGTCTTGTTGACACGTGGCATGTGGGCAGATAGAGGGGAGTACACAAGGGGCAGGGGAAGGGGCGTACATCGAGGTAGGCGAAGGTGGTCTTGTCTGCCGCCACCACACCGTTCTTGCCACCGCCCTCGATGACCATGTTGCACAGCGTCATGCGATCCTCCATCTGCCGGGGGGCAGGCGGGGCAGGCAGGACGAGGAAAGGGATAGGAGAAATCAGGATGGAAGAGGGGGGCTGGGAGTGTGAGGGTGGAAGGGATTGCACAACCAGGGAGGTGCTTACAAGGACGCGAATGAATAGAATACAGAACTCAGAAATTGTCGAGCCGGAAAGAAGGGACTGATAGCAGAGAAAGAGGTCGTGAGAGAATGGGATCTGGTAAAAGAGAGAATAGGCATAACGGGGCGGAGGGGGAGGTGAGGGGGGAACGAGGGTAATGAGGGGGTGAGACAAGGAGATGAGCGGGGCGGGAGGCACTCACCGTCATGGCCTCGACAGCAGTGCCTGTGAACTCCATGGCCCTGTACGTGCCCCCTGCCACTCCGATCTCACCGATGATCTGACGGCCAGCATTGGGAGGTGGGGCCGGACGGAGCGGGAGGGAGAGAAAGAGAGGGGGAAGGAGAAAAGGGGAGAAGGACGGAAAGATGGGGGAGAGGGAGAGGGGGGAAGAGGGAGGGGGAGAGAAAGAGCGGGAAGAGGAAGATGGGTTGAAAAGGGACATTGCAATTTGACAAGTAGTGTCACATGGCGAGCGCAGTGCAGCAAAGAGTGCATGGTGGCGGCTCGGCTGTCGCAACTGGCACGTTACACCACCCACGTACAGGGCGTGTGAAAGGGAGTGCGAAATGAAAGGATCGACGGAAAAGGGAGGTGAAAAGAACACACAGCGAAGAGCAAACCGGGAAGGGAGGAAAGGGATGCAAATAGCCAAGAGAAGAAGTCACGGGGGAAGAAAAGTTGTGCGGAGGGGAGACGAGTGGGAAGAAGATGAAGCGGGAAGTGAACGAGCAGGAAGGTAGATAGCTAACCTGCAGGATAAGGTCCTTAGCGAGCAGGTAGGGCGGCATCTCCCCGTCCAGCACAAACCGGAGCGTGGCCGGCACCTGATGGGGTGGAAACGTCCAAGCGAGAAACAGCGCAGAGAGATGAAGGGAGACGACTAGGAAAGGCGTGGATGATAAGCGGCAGGAGGATCAAGGGAGGGGAGGGGCAGGGGCAGGATGAGCAGGCATGAGGGGCGATGGGCGAGGGGTGTGACGCACCTTGAGCAGGCACTTGCCGGTGCCGAGGATGAAGCCGGCGTCCGTGTTGCCAATGCCCGTCGCGAACTGCCCAAACGCTCCCGCGTTGCACGTGTGCGAGTCCGTGCCAAACAGCACCTGCTCGCACGGCGCGGGAGGAAGCGGGGAGGAGAGGGGGAACGAGGAGAACGGGGGAAGGTGTGCTTAAATTGCGGGAGAGGGCAGGGTAACAGGGTTGGGAACAACAGGGGGCACATGGATGTGGTGTAGAAGACAGTACATGGCATGGCAAGCACAAACATAACCACGGAAGAGCATTGCATCCTGGACCATGCTAAAAATGTATCCATCTTTTCTCCCCCTCCAATGACGTTCTAAACCGACGTTCCTTCCCTCCCCACTCCACTGCCCTTCCCCTTCCCACCCAACCTTTCCCCTCCCTTTCTCCTCCCCCTTTCCCCCCATGTGCGCACCTCGCCTGGTCGGCAGTGCCCCTCCTGCGCGAGCGCCACGTGGCACACGCCCTTGTAGTCGGGGTTGGCCTGCACGCAGCGAGAGCGATAGGCACAGGGAGGATGGGAGAGCAAGCAGGCGACAAGAGTTCAATCGCACGAGCAGTTGTTGTTGGAGTGTCGCGTGCGTCAGCCGTTGGATCATAATAAAATTAGAAAAAGGGACGGTGGAGATTATATAAATAAAGCAGGTGCACAATCACCAGCGCACCTGGAAGTTGGAGCGATCAGTGATGTCATAAAAGTACTTGATGCCCTGCCTGCTCCTGCACGGCACCTGAAGTACCTGCTTCACTGCACGTACTGTCTCCACCTTCAACCACCGGCTTACCTGGAAGTTGGAGCGGTCGGTGATGTCGTAGAAGTACTTGATGTTCTGCTCCTGCACGAAGTCCCTCAGGATGTCCACGTTGCGGTTCGCGCGCTCGTCCGCCGTGAAGATGTAATGGTCCGGGATGATTACGATCTTCTCGCGGTCCCACACCTGCGCGGGGGAAGGTGTGAGAAGGGGAGGCGGCGGAAAGGGGGGAAGGGGAAGGGCAGGTGGGAAACTTGAGCTCCGTGCTGTGGTTGACGCGCTCGTCCGCTTGAAATAAAGAGGGAACGGTCAGCGGGGGAGGAGGGAGGGGGGATGGGGAGGAGAGAGGATAGGGGCAAGGAAGAGGAGGGAGAGCGGCTGTTGGAATTGACTCCACGGCCTCACCTTGGCGTCGGCGCCGAACTCCTTCTTGAAGATGCCGATGGTGCCGGGGCCGCACACGTCGTGCGTCATCAGCACGTCCGTGTTCACCCACACGTTCTCGCCCGGAGCCACGCGCGCCCGCTCCGCCGCGCGCGCCAGGATCTTCTCCGTCATCGTCATGGGGGACTTCACCTGGCGGGGGAGAGCGCGGGCACAGGGGGAAGGGGGAAAAGGGGGAAGCGGAGGCGCGCAAACGGGTGAAGCACGGGAATATGCGAGAGCAGGGACGGGAGGCTTCTCCGCCGCGCGCGCCAGGATCTTCTTCCTGCCGGCGGAAGGCGGAGAGGATTGGGGGGAATGAGGGGGTAGGGGGGTGGGGGAGCTGAAACGGAAGCATGAGAATAAGCGAACGGGGAACTGATGGACGACTTTGCTGTCGTGAATCCGAAGGCGAGAGAACCTTCTCCGTCGTCGTCATGCGCGATTCACGTGGTACCAAGGAGGGAAGTTAGCGAAAGGCTTAGTGTGAACAGCGGGAGTGAGGAAACGACGCTTGCGCAAGATCGCACTCCGCCGTGCATGGGTAGTTTCCCCCAGCGAGCGTGGGGGTGGGGGAATGGAGATCAGATCGGTGCACTCCGGTTCCCTGGTGAATCGGTGAGGATGACAGCGAAGGAGGCGGAACGCGAACGGGACAGAAACGCAAGAGCTCGATACCGACGTGAAAGAAGAACGATCGGAATTGGTGTTTGACGGTCGGTCATCAGCGTTCGGCTTACCGCGCCGGTAGAAGCGGGGGTGCTCTGCTTGCTGGGAGCAGGAGGCACAGCGACGGCACGGATCGCAACCGGCATCCGGCTGGCGACGGCTGGCGACGCCGCGGGAAGGAGCCGCGACGACGACACGCCTCCGGCGAAAGTCGTTGAGGAGGAACCATGGTGCACCGCCGCGCCCTGACAGAAACGACGGAACGAGATGAAGCGCAAAGGCCTTGAGAACCATGGCGGAAATGCTAACGAATTTGGCATGCGCTGTGCGAAGATAAAGGTGCAAGCTTCAACACCAAAAAACAAATCAAGGAAAAATATGGTCGTCAATTCCAGTACAATGCTGAGAACAGGACCGATAAGCATTGGTCGGGGGAAACAAAAAACGGTATATCAAAGGCCAAGGCACTACACAGAGCTCTTGAATGGAAAAAACGGTCACAGGAAACAGGTGCTTGGTCTTACGGGTGCACGGAGGGCTGTCGCTGGCACTAAAGCAGCCATGATGACCAGTCCACGCTAACGATCTACGACAATCGCCGACCACAGAGAGTCAGCACTTCGGAAAGGTGAAATATAGGCAGACGAAGCTGCCGGCAAGGTAAGGTAGAGAAAGAATGCAGCTGCCTTGTCTTGTAGACTCCACGACAGCCTAAGTTTCAGGAAAGGTTCCTTGGGAGGCGGAATCTAAAAAGGCAAGGCAAAAATGAGAAAGTGTAAGGTCAGAGAGACTGATATTGAATCGTCATCTCTCAAACAAAGCACGGTGGAAAGCGTTTAGCAGGTTGAGGGAGAACCTGATGAAGCCTGAACGCGCTGGAGCTGCCGCAGCTGTCCAATCCGAGCCAAGCCACTCTTGCGTCCACCTGAAAAAGCTCACGCCAACAGATCTCGAGGGCCTAGGGAGTGTCGTAAGCACACGCAACCTTGGCGAAAAAGAGACGATTGCTGCGCTCCACCTCGTCCAACAACATGACCGTCGCGAGTCTGGGTTTTGCGACTTTTTTGTTCTGGGTTTCGCGGAGGGTTGGGAGAGGTGGCGGGTTGGTATTGGTGGAAATTTGAGCAGCTTGGCTGGAAGTGGATCTGTCTGCGAAAGTTGCGAAAGGGGGAGATGGACACCCGAGTCCCAGGATATTTTTGCAGGTTGCGAAGTTACGAGGTTCTGCCCAAATGCTGCAGCTTCGCGACATTTCTAGACTGTCGTGAACCAGCGAAGCATTTACACTAGAATTTACCACTAGAACGGACAAGCAGACACGGGCAAAAGGGAACAGACATCCTTACAACTTAGTCATACTCCTTAGACCGATAGACGGCCTAGGACAACAACCATGGCGAAGAACATGTCAGGCATTTTGAGGAAAGCCTGTTCGAACGGGAAAGCGGCGAAGGGAATAGAAGAACCGAGTGCAGTGAAATTACTCTCTGGTCGGGATGTGGAGGGTGAGGAAGAGTCAACAGACACCGATGAGGAAGGAACAGATTCCGGCGACGAGAGCAAAAGCGGAGAGGAGGAAGGGGAAGACAAGGGAGATACAGGGGAAGAAGAAGGGGAGGTGGGAGAGGATGAGGAGGATGGAGAAGACAGCGACGAGGAGGAAGCAGATGAGCGAGAAGAAAGCCAAGGGTTTAGGATACTAGGTCCTGAGAAGCCGCCTAAGAATGTCCCCGCTGTTTCAAATCCAGGGATTCAGCCTAGTTCAGCGTCCGCGTTAAACCCGGTCAGAAGCTTCGACGAAATGGGACTGGATCCGCGTCTGCTGCGCGGGCTGGTGAAGCGGCGTCTGCTGAAGCCGACTCCCGTACAGCAGTACTGCGTGCCGCTTGCTATGGTGGGTGCCGCTCGTCGTTGAGTATTATAGCCATCAGTTATAGAGCTAAAAATCGCGGAAAGTGAAATATATTTATCAGGACGACAGGACCGCATTCGGCGTGTGCTGAAGTGCGTTAAGACGGTTTCTAAAATAGCAGGGAAGCAATTTGCAGCAACATCTCAGAGAGACCCAGAACCTCCCCAAAACCCCGTTTAACCATCAACCCTTCCTCCATCTCCTCGCCTTCACGATCGATTGCCCTCCCTCCATCACCGCCCTCCATCATCTCCTCTCTCTTGGCGCAGGAGGGGCGCGACGTGGTGGCGATGGCGCACACGGGGTCGGGCAAGACCCTCGCGTACCTGCTGCCGCTGCTGCACCGCGTGCTCGCCGACAAGGACTCCGCGCCCGCCGCCGCTGGCGCGGGGGGGACCTGTCCGCGCGCAGTGGTGCTGGTGCCCACGCGCGAGCTCTGCCAGCAGGTGCGCGGAGGAGGGCACAGGGAGAAGGAGGGCGAGAGATTGTTGGGAAAGGGGTGAGGAGGGAGCGAGAGAGAGGTATAGTGAGTTGGCCGCGGGTAGCTTCCAGGGGGCACTTGTCCCCGCGCAGTGGTGCTGGTGCCCACGCGGGAGCTCTGCCAGCAGGTGCGCGTGGCTGGGGGAGGGCGGAGTAGAAGTAGGGCGAGAGATTGTTGGGAGAGAGGGAGTGGGGAGGGAGCGGGTGGTAGAGATTTGGGCAGGAGAAGATGCATGCGTTTGGTTGAGTATGCTGCCACCGTTTGACCCGCTGCACTGTTCCCGCATGATCCCTGTCAACCGGCCATGGCACTGGCAGGTGGCGGAGGAGGTAGCAGCTATGGGGCAGTACTGCGGGGGTGCACTAACCGTACAGCGCCTCACCACCGGCATGAACAATGCTGCCATGGTGAGTCGAATCTTCCCTCCTTTTTTGACTTTAGAGATCACAAGCAGGAAAAACCACTCGGTTGCTTCCTTCAGTCCGTCTGACTAAGTTAACCCTGTATTCCCCGTGCCATGCTCTCATGTTATCCACCATCCAAACAACATGCCTCATGCTCTCCTTTATCCCCCATGCAAATTTCCAAATCCCTCCCCTAATTGACCTCCTCCCTGCAGCGAGCGGCCATGGAGAAACCAAACGTGATAGTGGTGGCAACGCCAGCGCGCATGGCATGGCAGCGTGTGTGGCGGAGGGCATGTCCCCTTCGTGAGTCATCCCCCATGTCTATCCCTCCTTTTCTCCATGCGCTCTCCCCTCTTCTTTCTCCCCTCACTACAGAGAGCGGCCATGGAGAGGCGACCAGACGTGGTGGTGGCAACGCCAGCGCGCATGGCGGCGTGTGTGGCGGAGGGTGTGCTGTCGCCCTCGGCGCTCAAGACACACCTCGCTGTCATGGTGCTGGACGAGGTGCGGGAGTAAGGGGGTGGATGGGTTAAGAAAGGGGAGGGAGGGCGTTGAGGGAGGGCGAGGCCGGACAGTGTGTTGTTGAGGCAGGGGACAGATGGCGTGGGTGGGTGGGTGGGTGGGTGGGTGGGTGGGTGGGTGCGTGGGTGGGTGGGTGGGTGGGTGGCGGCGTGTGTGGCTGAGGTGGTGCTGGCGCCCTCGGCTCTCAATACACACCTCGCTGTCATGGTGCTGGACGAGGTGCGGAGAGGAGGGGAGGAGGTTGGGATTGCAATGGGCGATTGGTGCAGGTGTGAGGGGGGGGACGAGGGAATGCACTGCGAGCTGTCATAGATGCTGCCATTTGTGCTCCCATGGCATTGACAGTTAACACACGTCATCCCTCTCTCCCGTTGCATGTGTGCCATGCCAACAGGCAGGTGTGCTGCTATCGCACGGGTACTACGGTGAGGTGCAGGCCATAGCGCGCCACGTGCCTGTCAGCTGCTGCTACCAGTCCCTCCGCTCATGCAACCCTCCCTGCCATCCCATATGTGCCAACAGGCGGATGTGCTTTTATCGCACGGCTACTACAGTGAGGTGCAGGCCATAGCACGCCACGTGCCTGTCAGCTGTCAGTGCCTCCTCCTCACCGCCACCTTCAGGTCAGCTCCCCTCCCTTTTCCAGGCCATTCTTGGAAATCAAAGAAAAACAGACAAGCAAACACCAAAACGGCTCACTCTGTTTGGTCTAACCCGCGCTCCTCCATCCCACCATACTCCCTCCCCACTTCCCACACCAGTGACGACATAGAGCGATTGCAGAAGTTAGTGCTGCACAATCCAGTGGTCGTGCGACTAGGAGACAGCTCAGGTCTCCTTGAGGATGCCCAGGGGGGTGCTGGGAGTGTTGGTGGTGTGGGTTTGGGCGTGGAAGGACAGGCAGTAGCAGAGGCAGCTGCTGCAGGTGCAGGAGAGGCAGCAGAAGCAGGTGCAGGAGGTCAGAGTAACCAGAACCAGTCTCTCCTGCCGCCCAATATCCGCCAGTTTGCCGTCCGCTGCGAGGAAAAGGACAAGCTACTCCACCTGCTCGCGCTGATTCGCCTGCAGCTGCTGCAGAAAAAGGTTCTCATTTTCACCTCCACTGTCGAAGCCGGATTCCGGGTGAAACTTTTCCTCGAGCAGTTTGGCATCCGGGCAGCCGTTCTAAATTCCGAGCTGCCCGTCGCGTCGCGGCTGCACATTCTGCACGATTTCAACGCCGGAAAGTTTTTCTTCCTCATTGCCACAGACGACGACAATGGGGGGCTCTCAGCGAAAAACGGGGGGAAAGGGGGGAAAGGGGGGAAAGGGGGGAACAATAATGGAAGGGGTGATTCTGGTCGAGACTCTAAACGATGTAGAGTACGGATAGCAGAGGGAGGGGAGGGAGGGCGGGAAGAGGGAGAAGAGGAGGTGGAGAGGGATACGGGGGAGTATGGAGTGGTGCGGGGGATAGACTTCAAGAACGTGAGGACAGTGATCAACTACAGTGTGCCGAACCAGCTTGCGCCGTACGTCCATCGGGTGGGGAGGACCGGCCGAGCCAGCAGCGTTGGCATGGCAATAACCCTGGTACGGCAATGCTTCCTTCCATCTCTCATGTGCCACATCTTTCCGTCTCTTGGTTTTGGAACACACACGTGTCGCACTCTCAATCCCTTCATCCCTTTCCACACCCTCGCTGATTGTTCTTCCCTGGCAAATCGGTGCATGCCAGGTGTCCCCTAAAGAGGCGCCGCTATTGGAGGCTCTTGACAGGAAGATTGCCCAGTCCATGGCACGTGCGGGCGGCGAGAAGGGCGGCGAGGATGGCAAGAAGGGCGGCACGCATGGCGGCGTGGAGCATGGGGTTAAAGGGGAGAGTGGGAGTGGTAGCAGTAGGAAGCGAGCAAGGGAAGCAGAGGATGAGGAGGGGGAGGAGAGTGAAGAGGAGGGAGAAGTGGAGGATGACGAGGAAGAGGGTGAGGAGGAAGGAACAGATGAGGAAGAGGAGGACGGCGAGGAGGAACAGGAGGAGTCAGAAGAAGAAGAGGAGTCAGACGATTCAGAGAAAGAGGAAGACGACGACGAAGAGGAGCCAGCAAAGCCGAAGCCATACGAGTGCAGGGCGATCGTGCCGTACCCGTACCTGCCCAGGGAGGGCGTTGAGGCACTGCGGTACCGCGGGGAGGACGTGGCAGGGAAGATCACCCGCGTGGCCATCCGCGAGGCGAGAGCCAAGGAGCTGCGGTGGGAGATTCTCAACTCGGAGAAGCTCAAAGACCACTTTGATCTCAACCCCAAGGACAGAGGTGCGTGCACTTGTGCCTCATTCTCCCTTCCTTCCCCTCATTCTCCCTTGTGCACCCGCCCTCCGCTTCTTCCTTTGGCACATGCACGTGGTCATGCGGGAGGGGGTGGGAGATTCTCCATTTGGAGAAGCTCAAGGACCGCTTTATCTCCTCACCAGCTTCCCTGAAACACCACAAAGAGTGTCTCCTTATTCTTGTTTCAACCTCACGACACCCGGCCCCCTCTCTCCCCCGCTCCCCCACTACAAGGTCCTTGGTCCTACCATGCCTGGTCCACCTGCTTTTTGCTCTATTGTTGCACGCCAGGCCTCCTCAAGCACAAAGTGCTTGCCAGCCAAGGTCCTAATTGCACACCCATTTGCCTCCTCATTGCACACCCACTCACCTTCGGTCACCCCCTGTTTGCTGCATCGCCCCCGCCAGACCTCCTGAAGCACGACAAGGTGTTGGCCAAGGTCGCCCGTCATTTCACTCTCACATACCCGCACACCCTCACACAGTCTTTCACCCCGTTGCTTCTCCATTACCCCCCGCCAGACCTCCTGAAGCACGACAAGGTGCTGGCCAAGGTGGCCCCCTCCCCGCATCTCAAGGTCCTCCCAACGTACCTTCGTGCCGAAGCTGTCACGGAGGCTCGGCGCAAGTTCCTAACCGAGTTGCCTCCTGCAGAGCAAGACAGTCGGGATGGGGGGAAAGGAGGGAGAGGAGGGAGAAGGGGAGGGGGGGTCAACAGAGGCCACAGGGGGAGGGCTGGGGGACGGGGACGGGGAGGAGGGAGAGGAAGAGGGGGGCGAGGAGGCAGGGGCAGGTCAAACGATCCGTTGAAAACGTTCAGTGCTAAGTAACACGCATACATACATGCACTTGATGAACCCATTAGTTGCGAGTATTCTGCACGCAAGTAGCACGCATGCACACACGTGGTGTCCGCAAGAGTTGGGCGTGCGCGTTGTTAGGCTTCTGATAAATGTCTAATATGCATTTGGTGTTGGCACTTACTGAACCAGCCAAGAGGGACCAAAGTCCCCATTAATGATTTACCTGAAGGAATATACTGTATCCATGTGCAACTGTGCGTAGCTTAGGGCTATTGGCCGCCAGAAACACACCCCGCCATCGGAAGCTCGCAGTAGTTAAGGGAAGTGCCCTTCAGAGCAGAGGTGCCACGGGCAGTTAAGAGGATCACCGTTGGCACCACCGTGCTGCTTCTCTCCTCTCGCCACCTCTGCTGATCCACCACCTCTCGCTTCCTCTGCAGCTCTGCTGCTCCACCTCCTCCTCTGTTGCAAAAAATGGCTGGCGTTGCCTCACCTCTCACTGGAAACGAATGCAGATGAGAGAGTCAAGATGACACTGATTGGCTGCTACAACGATAAGATCCACGGGTCTGTGCATTATATCTACGAATCGATGATTTAGTCGTTTTAGGCAATTTCATGTAACTGGATTAATCAAGCCCTGTTATTAAACTGCTCGGATGCACAGTCCTGTGTGCATATCCCCCACTTGGTGACTCCAATGCACAGCCCAGTGCTCGCCTGGTGCACCATCTCTGTAGCTAGCCTGCCGTGATGCATAAGCGCTGTCATTATGTCCCCTTGACGTTCAAGCCATGGGCCCAATGCTTATTCCCCGTAGTTGGCGTGCTCACATGCATAAACCTGTGGTTAGTGCGCTCTGATGCACAGACTCGGTGGTTAGAATTCCCGGTGCACATCCCTTTCATCCGCATGGTCTGGTGCACAAGCGCTGAGATTAGGCCCGTGGTCAGCCCTGCGGTTAACCCTGTGGTTAGCCCTGTGGTTAGCCCTGTGGTTAGCCCTGTGGTTAGCCCTGTGGTTAGCCCTGTGGTTAGCCCTGTGGTTAGCCCTGTGGTTAGCCCTGTGGTTAGCCCTGTGGATAACCCTCTGTGGTTAGCCTGGTGGATAGAGCCCTACGCAGGGGGTTGCTGAGGTGGGTGGGTCTCGAGGGGAGGCGGGGCGCACAAGGAGGTGGGTTGCAGGGGGGGCCACGCGTGTGGGGGGATTAGGGACAGGGGAAGAGGAGTGGGGGGGGATTCCTATGCAGGGGAGTGGAGGGAGCGGGGCAGGAAGGAACCTATCTTATCACATTCTATCTGCTTCAGCTCTACCACGGGTCTTAATCCTCCGTCTTGCCTTCCAAACGGATCGGCTTTGGTTGCCCTGGAAGCAGACGAGAGGAGGTAATGCAGACGAGAGGAGGTAATGCAGACGAGAGCTGAGCTTCTCTGCATGATAAAATAAGACCTGATTTGAAATGATGAGTGTTGTCCAATTCAGGCACATGATTTTCATGGTTTTGCTACCTACACAATGTTCATGATATGATATGATATGATATGCTATGATTTGATATCATGATATAATATGCTGTTCCTGGTGTTCGGTTGCTTTTTGCTCACATTCACAAACAACGACGAGCTCTTCCGCTGATGGCCAGTTGGCTGCACTTCATCTCACTTCATCTGAGTTCACTTTTCAGTCCAAACCCGTCATGTCAACAACACACCCAAAAGGAAGCAGAGAGGAAGAGAGGGGCACTCGAGAGACAAAGAGAAGATACGAGGGTAAGAAAGAGAACCGAGCATGTGGAAGGACAAGGATGAAGCTTATGAGACCAGGTCACTGAGAGACCAGGTAACTGAGAGACCAGGTCAGCTGCGTTGCTCGCGCAATCATGGCTGTTGGGAATGGAAGGCAGTGCCAAATTATGACCCTTGGCGCATGGTGGTGGTGGTCCATGGTGCTATGGCAGCAGAGCTCATGTAGAGTGCAGTGTAGTGGGAGTGGTGGGATAGAGTAGTGGAGAGGGAGTGCATTCATGCCATGCGTGCATCCCCCAGTCCCCCCTCGCTGGCTCAGCTCGCTGCTCTAGTGCCGTGGCCCACTGTCTGTTGGCCCACTGTCTGTTGGCCCACTGTCTGTTGGCCCACTGTCTGTTGGCCCACTTTCTGTTGGCCCACTGTCTGTTGGCCCACTGTCTGTTGGCCCACTGTCTGTTGGCCCACTGTCTGTTGGCCCACTGTCTGTTGGCCCACTGTCTGTTGGCCCACTGTCTGTTGGCCCACTGTCTGTTGGCCCACTGTCTGTTGGCCCACTGTCTGTTGGCCCACTGTCTGTTGGCCCACTGTCTGTTGGCCCACTGTCTGTTGGCCCACTGTCTGTTGGCCCACTGTCTGTTGGCCCACTGTCTGTTGGCCCACTGTCTGTTGGCCCACTGTCTGTTGGCCCACTGTCTGTTGGCCCACTGTCTGTTGGCCCACTGTCTGTTGGCCCACTGTCTGTTGGCCCACTGTCTGTTGGCCCACTGTCTGTTGGCCCACTGTCTGTTGGCCCACTGTCTGTTGGCCCACTGTCTGTTGGCCCACTGTCTGTTGGCCCACTGTCTGTTGGCCCACTGTCTGTTGGCCCACTGTCTGTTGGCCCACTGTCTGTTGGCCCACTGTCTGTTGGCCCACTGTCTGTTGGCCCACTGTCTGTTGGCCCACTGTCTGTTGGCCCACTGTCTGTTGGCCCACTGTCTGTTGGCCCACTGTCTGTTGGCCCACTGTCTGTTGGCCCACTGTCTGTTGGCCCACTGTCTGTTGGCCCACTGTCTGTTGGCCCACTGTCTGTTGGCCCACTGTCTGTTGGCCCACTGTCTGTTGGCCCACTGTCTGTTGGCCCACTGTCTGTTGGCCCACTGTCTGTTGGCCCACTGTCTGTTTGCCCACTGTCTGTTGGCCCACTGTCTGTCTGTTTGCTCAAGTTTCCGAATTCTTCAGCTTAATTTTCGAGTTGCTCTCCTCTGTTTCTGCCTCCAGTGCTACCCCGTTCTTTGCTGAGCTTTCTGCTGCACTCATTCAGAATTCATTGCCTGACTTCTGCCCTCGGCCAATCCCGTTGCTGCATTCTCCCCCCACCATCCTCTGGTCTCGGGCAAATGGAGGGCAGGCGGCAGAGCAGCAGAGCGGTGGATGCAGCCGTGTCGCGGGCGGCAGAGCAGCAACATGGCAGTCAACATCAGTCAACAAAATTCAACACCAGTCCTCGGTACTATGCATTCCTTTCACTGCACCCGCTCTCTACTTCGCTCTCTTATAACACTGCAGTTGTAGTGGCAGTGGCAGGAACTTGGGACGTTATAACACTGCAGTAGTAGTGGCAGCGGCATCAATCTGTGACATTGAAACACTGCAGTAGAACTGGCAGTGGCATCAACTTGGGACAGTAGAATTTAGAGCACTGAGTCGTGGTGGCAGTAGCAGGAACTTGGGACATTAGAGCGCTGCATTAGTAGTGGCAGTGGCAGAAGCTTTATTTGCAACGCCCAGCACCACCCGCGGTTATTGCTGCACACTTGCCTTGGTATTGTGTTGGAGGGCGATGGGGCGTGACAAGGCGTGTGCTCTGGAGTGTGACAAGGCGTGTGCTCTGGAGTGTGACAAGGCGTGTGCTCTGGAGTGTGACAAGGGCACGTACGCTGGAGAGTGTGTGACCTACACAGGTTTAAATTGCGCATTTGCTCTTTAGATCTGCTCATTATTTGCTAATTTGCTCTTGTAAGAATGTTACTAACTGCACTCTACCCATCTGCAGTCAAGTCATCAGATAGCTCTACAAAGGATCTTCCCCTTCTAAGCTCCCATTGGTCAACCACCTCCTTGGCAGCCAGCAGAGCAGATCTTAGCTCCCCCAGGTGCACCTCTGTTACCACCTTATCTCGAATGCACGCCCTGCAGGCCGTGACCGTGTGACACTTGGCGGGCTGCCATTGGCTGAAGCCGTTGGCGTCGAGGCAGTTGTCGGTGTAGGTGGAGAGGTTGCGATGCTCGTTGCGCCACATGAAGTAGTGCACTCCCCACCGCAGTGCGATGCTGCAGAGAACAGATGCAGATGCAGATGCAGTCAGTCAGAAGACGGGGGGAGAGGACATGAGACAGTCACCCCACAGACATGATCTCATGAGGACATGATCTCAAGCGCCTTGCGACACCACAGACACCCCACGATACCCCCCCACTCCATCCCCCCCCACCACCACCCACCGCTTGTACGCGCCATAGTGCCACATATATGGCATGATCTCAAGTGCCGCCGCCCCTTTCTGCAGCAGCACCACGTTGGCCATGGACGCCCCGTGCATCGAGACAAGCAACGCCGTCCGATGCATCGCCCGCACCTGGGCGGCGAACGGCATGGCCTGCAGGTGAGGATGGCAAAGGGGCAGCAGGGAGGCGGTAATGGGAGGAAGCTATTTCAGAGAGAAAACAGCAAACCAGCTTCTTACAGTCTCTGAAACGACCAGATGGACCGGCAGTGTTGGGAAGACATGAGAGAAGAAATGAACCAGCTAAAATGGAGGAGAAGAGAAGAGAGTTGGCAGATAAATGTACCTCCAGCGAGACGACCTTGACAGGCAGGTGGGGAAAGACGGCCCTGAGTAGCCCAACCATGGGGCGGAAGTTGCTGATGGTGCGCACGCCCTTGCGCTCCACCACTGTTATCTGCCATGCCACCCTCCTCCCTGCAGCCCGCCTCCCACTCTCTCCATGCCCCAGCTGCCGCCGCTGCTGTTGCTGCCGCTCTCTGCTGCTCACATTTGTTGTTCCCTTGGCTTTAAGGTGTCTCACGGGGAGGTCTCCCTTCCTCAACTGCAGCTGCAGCAGGTGTCTGCTTGAGTGGGACTTCATGCTTCCTCTGCCCGTCGCGGCTCTTCTGACACCTGAAGCAGTTGAAACAACTGAAGCACCTGAAACATGTGAAATTACCCCCTTTTTCTCCCCTCCCTTGCCAGGACGACTTATTTTCCAATCCCCCCCTTTCTCTCCTGCTTTCTCCTCCTTACCATCCTCTCTCTCATTCCTCCTTTTCCCCCCATTCCCCCCATTTCCACCATTTCCGCCTCCCTTATCCCTTTCACTGTGTTTATCTGTTCCTTTTCTCCTCTCCCCACCACTCACACTTGCATTTGCATTCTTCTCACTTCCCTCACTGCTCCTCCCTCCCTTCTCAACTTTCTTCTCACTTCCCCCATTCTTCTTCCCTTTTTCCTCATCTTTCTTATCCTCCCCACTGCTCCTCCCTTTCTTATCAATTTTCTTCTCACCTTCCCCACTGCCTCTCCCTCCTTTCCCTCCCCCCTTTCTCTCTCCATTCTTCTCACCCACATCCCCCTTTTCCACCCCCTTCTCCACCCCCTTCCGCCCTCCACCCTTCACACTACCCCTCCTCAACCCCCCTCCCCGTCCTCTCCCCCCTCTCTCACCCCCTACCCCACGCTCCCCTCTCCCCCCGCCACTCCCCCCCACCCGTTCAATCTCATCCGTCCAAACCCGCGGATCGGCCTGCTGGGCTTTAAGGGTCTTGCCAAGCCCGGCGCCCTGGGCCACCCAGAGGCGGAAGAGGTCAGCAGAGGAGGGCGCGTGGGCGATGGAGAGCGGGAAGAAGGCGTCCTGGAAGCACGTCGTGTGCGTCCACACTCGCCCTGCCTCCACTGCTGGTGTTGACTCTGCTGCCACTGGTGTTCCTCCTGCTGATGTCACTGCTTCTCCCCCTGCCGCCAGTGCCGCCCCGGATTCCCCTGCTGGGTCTAATTCACCCTTCTTGATCTGCTGTCTCGTGCCCTTGAGCCCTCGCATGCCTGCGTGGTCTTTCGTGCCTTGATGCTCCCGCATGGCTTGGGGGACTCTCATGCCTTGGTATTCCCGCATGGCTTGAGGGCCACGCATGGCAACCGCGCCAGCTGCCGCTACCCACCTTGATATTCCCGCACTGAGAGGGGTGGGTAAAGGAGGAGGGCAGGAACGGGAAGCGAGACGAGTGAGGGGAGGGAAAAAGAGGAGGAGAATGAGGGGAGGAAGGAGGGATGTGGAGACGGGAAGATGGGAAGGAAAAAATCGAAGGAGAGAGAGGAAGGAGAGACAAGTGGGAAGCAGATAAGAGAGACAAGTGGGAAGCAGATAAGAGAGACAAGTGGGAAGCAGATAAGAGAGACAAGTGGGAAGCAGATAAGAGAGACAAGCACTCACTCACCCACTTGGAAAGAAGAGCACTGGCTGCACGTCAACCCTGTCCCCCTCCTTTCCACCATCCCCACCACCAGCAGCAGCCGCACCACCACTGACACCAGCAGCATCACCAGCGCCAGCACCAGCACCAGCACTACCAGCACTGTCACCAGCAGCAGCAGCAGCAGCAGCATCAGCCGTCCCTCCCCCAGAAGCCACCTCCCTGCCTGGAGAATCCTTGTCTGCCGCTGCCACTTGCGTGCCTGGCACGTCCCTGTCCCTCTTGCCAGTGGGCAGGTGTGAGGCGAGTTCAGTCATGGCACCGATGAACTCCACGAAGTGACCCAGGTGCCCGTCTCTCAGCGACACCATGCCCACGCCCCGCCACTCCTCCGGTTGCTCGACTGAGATGGCGAATGAGGCGTTGTTAGTGGTGAACGCACTACCCGAGTAACCACCACTGCTGCTGCTGCTGCCGCCGCCGCCGCTGCTGCTGCTGCTGGTGCCAGCAGCAGCGGCAGGGACGGGGTGAGCAGGCGGGCGGCCGTGCAGGAAGAAGAGCTCAGCATCACTGGCATGCACAAACGGCCCCACGCGCCCACTCAGCTCCGGCACATCTCGCACGTCCGCACTCGAGAAGTGCTCCTTCCTCAGCGGCTGGAGAGCGGATTTCCCCGTGCAGATGTTCTGAGAGAGGTTCAACCGGGACAGGTCGTATCTGGGGTCCTTCCAGAACCACACGCCCACGTGGCGGTCCGTGATTCGTTCTCGCAGCATGATCTTTTCGATCTCGTGGTTGGCGACGGGGACGGAGTGGAAGAGGGGGTTGAAGGCGTAGCACACGTTGCGCACCCACAGGGCGCACGCGTAGTCGCCCTGCTGCTGTAACAGGCGCAAGAAAGTCGCGTTGGCCTCTGCTGGTATCAAGTCTGCTGATAGCGAGTCGGTAACGGGCCTGCTTGCACTAGCCGCAGCAGCAGCAGCAGCAGCAGCAGCAGCGTTACCCCTATTTGCACCACCAGTGCCGGCACCAGCCACACCAGCACCAGCACCCTCAGCACCTTCACTGTCACTATCGCCAGCTGCTGCTGCTGCTCCTTCCTTCATGAGAGCGCCCCACCCGCCCTCCTCCTCCTCCCCCTCCTCGTCCTGCTCGCGGAAGGCGGGGTCGGGGAGCGGGTTGCTCATGCGCCACCCGTGCGCCCGCAGCCAGTCGCTGAGGCTCTGGCTGTCGCAAGGGGCACACAGATGAAACGGAGGTTCAGGGAGATGTAACCGGGGTCCGGGACAAGCAGTTTCAGTGGAGCGTCCGTGACAGAGATGCAGCGGGGAGGGACGGGATGGAACGAGGGAGGAAGGGATGTAATGCAGAGGGGGGGGGGGGGGGGGGGGGGGGGGGGGGGGGGACGGAAGGGATGTAACGAAGGGGAAAAGGGTAACGCACGAGGGGGGAAGAAAGGGATGTAACGAGGGGGGAAGGGATGTAACGGGAGGCGATGGAATGTAACGTACCGCTGGGTCCAACGTGTATGGCGATGAGGCACGAGCACCAGCAGCCTCTTCAGAGGCCGACTGAGCGTCAGAGTGAGTGTGAGAATGTGGGCGACCAGAGGGGTTTTTCCGAAACATGCCGTGCCTGATCCGCACATGCCACGGGTACTGCTGTTGACTTTGTTGCTGGCTGCTTTTCTGGTGATTGTGACTAAATCGAGGGTGCCGTTGCGAGACAGGATCGGTCGTTAGCGAAGCCACGTGGGATCGATGCAATTCGCCTATGAGCACGAGGAGGAGGATTAGCGACGCCACGCCGTACAGTAACAGCGCGCGAATCAAGCCGTCGCTTTTAACGGGTGATTTGGATTTCGGAGGCGCGGGTGTGACTGCAGCGAATGTTCGTTTGCCGTATATCGGACTCATGGCTCCTCTGAAATGTGATTTATTCTCGCCGGCATTTGCGGGACCGCGGGACGAAGACGGAGGGCTGGAGGCGGGTGAGGCGAGGGATGGCAGGTGTGGCGAAGGAGACGACGACGGCGAATCGTGTAACGCTCTTCGCGAAACCGTTGCTTTCGCCGCGCCGGAAGCTTTCGCGACGACCTCCGTCGGTCGGTCAGGCTGTGCTGCTCGCGCGAAGCCAGACTGCTGCTGCGGCCGATTCCGGGGCGTTCGAGCCATGACGCGCGCGTGGGACACGCCGAACGATGATAATGGCGCGTGCGTGCAGTCAAGCGCGCGGGCGAATCAGGAGAACGACATTGGTGTGGTGGTAGAGACTCAATTGGTAGGTGAATAGTAGCAACTAATAACCGTGGACCCCCACCAACTTATCTATTTTTCGCGTTACAGAGCTGCCCCACATACAGAAGTTTGTATGATTTACTTAGCACATATATTTTGGTTTCAGTGTTATCGGGTATTGTGCCAGGCTGGAAATATTGAGGCCCCAGACTTCGTTGGGCTGAGTCGGGTTAGGTCTGATTGGAGACCAACCACAGCGGCTCGGCTGCGATGTTCCGAACCTAGCGTCCCTCCTTCACAAGCCCCACCACTGGCTGGGCTCTGGTCTGGGCTGAGGCCGCTGCCCAACCACTGTACAGCAGCTACGGTCACGATGAAACCGACGTAGAATTTGGTTCCGGGACTTCATCCTGAGGATTTTCTGAACGAACAACTCCGTTTCTTTGCCCAACATTCAGGTCTTTGCGGTTTCATCAACCATAAGAATAATAAAGTTCTTAATGTAGTTTGCTGCCTTATATTGTTTCTTGAAATGGCCTGAAAGTCATCTCGAAAGTTTCTCTAGTGCACAGTGCCTACCATCATACTGTTCGTGATTGCACAGTCCACAACACACAAACCATCACTCGAGTCTGGTTCGTCGTGAAATCACCACCATCATTCCTCATTCCGCGTGAGCCGCGCACTCAGCGTTCCGAAGTTTGTCGAAGGTGCGCAGAATCAAACAATCGTCGCCTTTGCGGGTACGGAAGCACTCTCAAATCTTAGATTATTTGCAAGCCAGCCTGCTCCCTGTGAAAGGCTGAGCAAGACCGCCTTCCTCCCATCCTTCACAGCTTCACGGCTTCATTGTTGCTCTTCCTCTCATTGTTGCTTCTTTTCCGAGCGCGAGCTGTGCTGCCTGATCGAGCTTCACGTATTGGTTATGTCACATCGACGATTGTCAATCCGGACGTCACCACCTCCCGATAAGCTCGCATCGCCTTCCGCGAGAGTCGTGGTAGGGTAATGCGGCGGCATGGCGACCATCATTGTGACAACACAATGCGACCTTCGTCGGCGCGTTTGAAGTGAATTATCAGTCATCTTCGATAAACGAAAACTCGATTCCTCGATTCCTGAAGGAGCTTTTGAGTCCGCATGCGCGGATCCGTCGCTTGCGGTCGACACGAGCAGTTGCTTGAAGCAATCCAGTTGTCCGGAAATAATCAAAACATATCGCGATTGGCATATGGCGAGAATGCGAGGCGACAAAGAGCTCCGTACTTGATAGTTATGATCATGTGACGAATACACGATATATCTGACGCCTCCGATGCCATTTCGTTGGTAGCGGAGCGGCGCGAGCGTTCCGACGCCTAGCTCCGTCTGACGTGTCGGTCCCTGATTGGTAGCGGAAGGATGGGGGTTGACGTGGGGCAGGAGTCGAAGCGGCAGACGGACGTGGTGTTCGACGGGCACCGCTGGACCAAGTACGGCCAGAAGGTGTTGCTGCACTCCAGCTTCTTGCGGTGAGTGCTTATAACGGGGTCCTGATGGCAATGAGTTCTTATAACGGAGTCCTGATGGCGGTGAGTGCTGAGTGCGGTCTGTTACAAGTTACAGCACAGCATCTCCATCCCGCTACTCCATCCTCAATCACAACCACCCCACCCTGCACTCCCCACTTATCCAACAATCTCCTACCTCCCCCACCCCTCTTATCCCCGTTATAAGGTCCTACTACCGGTGCAGCTACTGCAGCGCGGCCAAGGGGTCGTGTCCGGCGCGCAAGCTGGTGGACCGGCACCCGTCCAACCCGCACGAGATCCGCGTGGGGTACCACGGGCGCCACAACCACGCGGGCCTCAGCCCCGCATCGCCCACCATCCAGCGCTCCGTCACTCCCCCCCCGGATATGTCCGAGTCATCGCAGAGCATGGCCGCTGCTGCTGCTGCCGCTGTCGCTGCTGCAGAGGCGTCGGGTTCTGTGATGGGCGGTGGTGCGGGGGGGACCGGGGAGGCGGGGTTGAGCGGAGGTGAGTGAGACTAACATAGTGCGCCCTTCTTTCTCCCCCGCCTCCTCCTCGCCCTGGTCCTCCATCCATCGGCTGTTTCTCAACCTCCCCGCATCTGCTGATTCCGATTCCTCTCCACCGTTTCAACCTTGTCCTTTTGCGGTGCGGGTGCAGGTGGGGAAGGTCAGTCTGTGGCAGAGGGGGGGAATGCGCGGATCCCAATGCAGTTTGGGGATTTGGGGGGGGAGGGAGAGGAGGGCGCGGAGGGGGGTGAAGGGGGGGGCCAAGACCTGGACTACAAGTGAGTCGGCTGCTGCTGCATGGGTGCTTTACGTTTGATTGTTCTCAATTTGAGTGGACTCAAACTGCTATACTGAGCTCTCTGTGCTATCAGAAAGGGAAGTGACTTGTCCCTGTTCCTCCACTCCCCTCCCCTGATCGTCCCCTGCACCAATCGTCCCCTGCACCAATCGTCCAACGTGACAGAACGTTTGAAGCCATGCTGAGCCACGGCGAGGAGATTCTGGTGGGCATGGACGACGAAGGGGAGGGCGAGGAGGAAGGGAGGGAGCAGGGGGAGGGGGAGGTGGAGGGTGGTAGGGAGGGGGCGCAGCAGGGGGGGCGGGGGGAGCAGGCGGAGGTGGATGAGCGCAGCTGGCGGTCGCTGCAGCTGCCTGAAGATGGGTACCTGTGGGACCCGCCCCGCCGCCACAAGCCGCTCGTCAACTCCATGTACATCCGGTGCGTGGGGGGAGGGGTAAGGGTGGCAAGGGGTGCGCTTATGCATGTTGTGATGATGGGGTGGGGCGCTGCAGCTGCCAGGGGATGGGTAGCTACCTGTGGGACCCGCCTAGACGCCCCAAGCCCCTCGTGAACGCCTTGCATTGATGCACATTCCATCCCCGCTTTCTGCCCATTCCCCTCCCCACAGGGTGGTGTATCGGTGTGCATACCACCCGGAAGGCAGCGCCAGGTGTCCAGCAATGCGAGTGGTGGATATCCACCGCGCCAACGCGTCCTCCCTGCAGCTCACCTACACGCGCCCCCACTGCCACCCCCAGCCCGTCCGCATTCGCCTCACCCGCCGCCCTGCCACCCCCCGCTCCTCCACCCCCCCCTCCGCCAGCCCCCCTTCCGCCACCCCCCCCTCCGCCACCCCCCCCAAGGGGGAAGGGGGCGGGCGTGGGGAAGGCAGGGGAGGGGCTGAGGACGGGGGAGGAGTGGGGGGATGGGGAAGATCTGGGGAAAAAGGGGTGGGGGGCGGGGCGGAAGTGGAAGTGAGGGCGCTGGTGAAGAGGGAGGGCGGAGGAGGGGGGAGGAGTAGTGGGAAGGGAGGGGGGCGGGGAGAGGGGTCGGTAGGGGGGAGTGTGGGGAGGGAGCAAGGCACAGGGGATGAGGGTTTGGTTAGGAGTGTGGGGTGGAATGGTGCGGCGATGGGGGGTGTGGCTGGGGTGGTGGGAGCAGATGGGATGGGTGGAGTGGATGGGGCGGTGGGAGAAAACGGGACAGGCAGAGCAGAAGGGATGATAGGAGGAGAAGGGATGGTGGGAGGTGGGGGGGTGGTGGGAGGAGAAGGGGTGATAGGAGGGATGGTGGGAACATGGGCAGGTGTTAGGGGTGACTCTGGCCTAAGTGCTGGCACTGGTGGTGGTGGGGGAGGTGGTGGTGGTGGTGGTGGTGCGTTGGGTGCACAGGTGGCGTTGAGTGCACAGGGGGCGTTGGGTGCGCATGGGGCATTGGATGAAGGTGGGGCGTTGGATGAAGGTGGGGCGTTGCCTGTGCCAGGAGGGGTGTGTGGCACTACTGACAGGCTGGGCCCAAGCCCGCCGCTCAAGCGAGCAAAGCTCTCAACACCTACGAATCATGCAGCACCCCTCCATCCTGCATCAAATACACTCACCCGCACGGTTTCAGGGCAGGACCAGTCGTGGGGGGGCTTGATGGGAGGAGGGATGGGAGGAGCAGGAGGAGCAGGGATGGGAGGAGGAGCAGGAGGAGGAGCAAGAGGAAGGGGGGAGAGATGGGGTGCAGGAGGGGCACGGCGAGTGGAAGGAGGGTTGACTCGAGCGTTTCGGGAGGCGGAGGCTGGGAAGGGTGGGGCGACGGCTGGGCTTGGGTCTGCTTCGTTACAAGCACATCCTTTACTGTCAGAACCGTTACAAGCAGAAGCGTTTCAGGAAGGGCTGTTAGAGGGAGACTCGCTGCCGGATGAACCGTTACAGGAGGAGCTATTACAGCAGCTGCAGCAGATGCAGCAACTGCAGCAGCTACTGCAAGGAGAAGAACCGAATGCCCTGAAAGACATGCTGCCGCAGCAGGAACAGCAGCAGGAGGAGCAGCAGCAGCAGCAGCAGGTGAAACAGCAGTCGCAACAGCAACAGCAGCCTAATCAGCAGCAGCAGCAGCAGCAGGAGCAGCAGCAGGTGCAGCAGGTGTTAGGGGTAAACACTATAAGCAGGAGTGGATCCCTGGCACAGCAAGATATCAAGGGATCAATAGCAGGTACAGCAGTGTCACCAGCTGACGTGCCTCGCACAAACTTCCACGCGGGAGGGCCAATGGAAGTTGCCAGCACAGCAGCTGCTGCTGGGGCTGGAATTCGTTCCTTACAACGCCAGCACCATCTTGCATTGGATCAGCTCGGGGCAACGACACCTACCACCACCACTGCTCCTCTCCCTGCTTCTGCCGCTGTCGCATCTGCCGCCGCTGGTGCCACTGCCGCTGCAGCTACTGCATTCGCTGGTGCTGCTTCAAGCCCACCATATTTATCGCCTCACCAGCCCTCCACGCCCCACTCCAGCCCCACAGCCAGCGTCACCACTGCAACACACACTTGCGCCGTCCCCCTACCTCCTCGTTTCCCTCCCCCAGGCCTTTCCTTGGCTGCGATTTCACCTGGCATTTCGCCTGGCACTTCACCTGGCGTCTCCCCCTTAGGGGGAACTTCCGCTGCCATTTCTCCTGGCAGCAGGTTCGGTGCGAACCTGTCTCATACTGTGCCTATGCTCGGTCCGGCACCTCGGCTCAACCGAACCAGCAGCACAGCCACGGCAGCAGCAGGAGGACTAACAGGCACGGGTGCTGGGAACATGGCAGGAAAAGGTACGGCTGCAGGGGCAGAAATTGGTGTGGGAGGAGCAGGTACGGGCACAAGCACAGGAGCAGGCATGGGCACAAGCACAGGAGCACCAGCAGATGCTGCTGGGACTGCTACTGCTGCTGCTGCTGCTGCTGCTGCTGCTGCTTATCTTTCTGGGGGAAGGTCTGTGTCAGCACCCCTGCCCATCCCTCGCCGGTCCTCTTTTACTGGCCCGAACAACCCTTTCTTTCCCTCCTCTCGCTCCCTTACCCCGCCAAAAGTGCTGCAGCAGCAGCAACAGCAGCAACAGCAACAGCAACAGCAAGAGCAGCAACAGCAACAGCAACAACAGCAGCAGCAACAGCAGCAACAGCAACAACAGCAGCAGCAACAACAGCAGCAGCAGCAACAGCAACAGGAGCAGGAACAGCAACAGCAGCAGCAGCATCTGCAGCAGCAGCAACAGCAACTGCAGCTGCTGCTCCTACTGCAGCAGCAGCAGCAGCAGCAGCAGCAGCAGCAGCAGGTGTCTCCTGCTCATTCCCCCACCACCACACAGGCAGTTGGTCTTGCTCCAACCTCCTCCCCCACATCCCCCACTGCTTCTGCCCTTCTCACAGCACTGCACTTGCACCACGCCCCATCACCCACCCACCACACCCACTCACCCCTGCACTCCGCACCTTCACCCGCCCACACGCCTCAATCTATCTCCCAAACCCTAGACCAGCAACCCTGGCCTGCCCTGCCCTACACTGCGCGATCATCAGGGGGTTTCCCCCCCTCCTCTTCCCCCGCCGGCAGCACTGGCACTGGCTTAAGCACGGGTACTAATTTAAGCACTGGTACTGGGTTGAGTCCCGGTGTAGGTCTAAGTGCTGGCCCTGGGTTAAGTGGAGGTATGGGCCTAAGCACTGGTACTGGGTTAAGTCCAGGTGCGGGCCTAAGTGCTGGTACTGGGCTTAGCACGGGGGGTCTGAGTGCAGGGGCTTTGAGTGGTGGGGGCATGGGAGGGGGGTTGAGTGCAGGGGGAGTGAGTGGTGGGGCAGAAGCACAGGGAGGGGGGGGGTTAGTTGGACTAGGTAACCCTGCTGATTCGAGTGGTTTTGGTAGGTTGAACAGAGCAGGGGCATTGCTTGGGGAAAATGGGTTCGAGGGTATTCACCCTGTGCGTGTGGGTGATTCTATTGGGTGTGGGTTGGGTGGGAACGATGCGGGTGCTATAGAGGCTGGGCTAGCTCAGAACAAGCTTCAGCAGATGCTGTTGCAGCAGCAGCAGGAGAGGCTGCAGCGGCAACAGGTGCAGCTGCAGCTTCAGCAGGAGCGACTGAAGTGGCAACAGCAGCAGCAGGAGTTGATGAGAGTGCAGAATGAGCAGAGGGAGCGAGAGGAGCAGAAGCGGGCGGAAGAGCAGTTGTTGCGAGACCTGCAGCAGCAGAGCGAGTCGCAGCAACAGCAGCAGCAGCAGCAGGAACAACATACCCAGCAGCAACAGCAGCAGCCAAGGCAACAGAATCAACATAATCAGCAGCAGCAGCAGCAGCAGCAGCAGCAGCAGCAGCAGGAACAGCAGGAACAGCAGCAGCAGGAACAGCAGGAACAGCAGCAGCAGCGAAGGCAGCAGGAGCAGCCGATTTTTGCGCGGAGAATGCTGGCCCGGCAGGGGCTGTTAGAACGCCTACCCAGTGATGCCTCCACTGCCGGCAACCTCGCGAGCGTACGGGGACTCTCCCCTCTGCAGATGCAGATGCAGGCAGACGCCGAGGGAGGAGATGCCTTTGCGGCAGGATCAGCTGGTGGTGGGGGTGGGGGTGATGATTTGCTGCTTAGTTTTGTAGCAGCAGAGCCAGGTGTTTCCGCAGGTGGTTCTAGGGCTGTGGGCGATGCGGCCTTTTCAGCCGGCAGCAACGCGCGACCGGCATGGATGGGAACGTGGGAGGCACCTGAAACCAACGGTCAGGATCCTCCGGATGAGCTCCCGTCTTTCCTCAAGGATATCCAGACAGGAGGGCTGTCGACACTAGGAGGAGGGGGGAGGGGGGCGGCAGCAGCGGCAGGGGGTGTGGGTGGGGGGACAGTGGCACGGCTGTCGTCAGTAGAAGGGAGGGAGCTGCAGAACCTGCTTCGCTTTGGCAGTATGGGGGGGCTTCTAGCCCCTCCGCTTTCTAGACTTGGCTCCCTAGCGGCAGGGGGAGCAGCAGCAGGAGGAGGGGCAACAGGAGGAGGAGGGGGAGGAGGAGGGGGAAACGAGAGGGAGACAGTGGCACGGTTGTCATCAGTGGATGGGCGGGAGCTGCAGAACCTGCTTCGCTTTGGCAGCATGGGGGGGCTTCTAGCCCCTCCTCTTTCCAGGCTAGGGTCCCTATCGGAAGGGGGAGGGGCACCAGGAGCGGGGTCAGCTGGGGGAGGAGGGGCAGGAGGAGGGGGTGGGGCGGGGGGTGGAGTGGGAAACGAGAGGGAAACAATGGCACGGCTGTCATCAGTGGATGGGCGGGAGCTGCAGAACCTGCTGCGCTTTGGCAGCATGGGGGGGCTTCTAGCCCCTCCACTCACACGTCTTGGCTCACAGGCAGCAGCAGCTGCTGCAGTTGCCACTGCTGCCACTGCTGCCACTGCTGCTGCTGCTGCTGCTGCTGCTGCTGCTGCTGTCCAGAGACTAAGTCCTGAACGTTCCCCTGTACACTCACCAGCTACACCGGCTGCAGCAACAGGTGGTGCTTCTAGGCTGCAACGCACTGGCTCTCCTGTCTATCGACCCTCCTTCTCGCCTCCTCGTCCTTCCCTCTCCCCACCCTCTCACCGCCCTCCCTCCCCTCCTGCTCCTCGTCCTCCCTCCCCGCCCGCTGCCCGCTCTCCCTCTCCCCTTTCCCGCCCCTCCCTCTCGCCGCCAAAGCGCCGCCCAGGCTCCCCTCCCACCCATCGCCTGGCTTTTGAGTCAACTCAAAATTTATCCTGCCCAGGCTCCCCTCCTGCCCATTGTCTGGCGCGCGTGGATTCGCTCACTTCCAACTCGCCCCTCACGTCGCCCACTCCTGTGGTTTGGGGGAAGCAGCGCGCAGGGTATGGGGACGGCCTGGCTGATGGGGGGTGGGAAAGGAGGGAAAGAGAGGGGGAGGGTATGGGAGAAGGGAGAAGAGAGGAAGGAGAAGAAGGAGGCGGGGAGGGAGGTGGGGAAGGAGGAGGGGAAGTGGGTGGAGAGGGAGAGGGAGCAGGAGAGGGAGGGGGAGAGGGAGGGGGAGAGGGAGGAGGAGAAGGAGGAGGAGGAGGGGGAGGGGACGAGGGGAACGTTGGCAGTGGTGGCGGTAATATGGGTCTGGGAATGGGCATGGGGATGGCGATGGGTGGAGAGGGGGAGTGGGGGACACCAGGGTCCAGGCAAAGGGGTCACCAGGGGGATTTACTCAGTCTGCTGCGCTATGGCAGCATGGGTGGGCTTATTCTCGCCGCCAAGTCACCCCCCTCTGCCCCCACTCCTCCTGGAGCCGCTCCTGGTTTTTCTCCTGGGTTTTCCCCTGGGTTTTCTCCTGGCCGTTCCACTCGGTGTTCCCCTGGGTTTTCACCTGGGCACTCCCCAGGGCCCTCCCGTCTCCCCCCCCTCCCAGCGGGACAGAGGGGGTCTTTCAGGAGCCACCCTGCCCCGGACCCCCTTGCCGGTGAGGTCGTCGCTGCTGCTAATTCTGCCGCCGCTGCTGCTGATGCTAATGGCACCGCTGGTGGTTCTGCTGTTGCTGGGGAAGCAGCAGGGACGAGCATGGCGGCAGCGTCAGGGTCACCCATGCCATCCGCGCAAGGAGGGCAGCAGGGCAGGCAGGAGCTGGGGCTGAATGGGCGAGCATCAGCACTCAGAGCAGACGCTGCTGCTGCCTTCAGGTTTGCCCCTTATGCCCCTGTTCTTCACACCTGGTACCGTTTTTCAAACCGTTCATATGTCCATCTTCTCCCTTCTCGGCATTACCATTCAACTCAGCATCTGGTTCCCCCCATGCCATCTTCTCCCTTCTCGGCATTACCATTCAACTCAGCATCTGGTTCCCCCCATGCCATCTTCTCCCTTCTCGGCATTACCATTCAACTCAGCATCTGGTTCCCCCCATGCCATCTTCTCCCTTCTCGGCATTACCATTCAACTCAGCATCTGGTTCCCCCCATGCCATCTTCTCCCTTCTCGGCATTACCATTCAACTCAGCATCTGGTTCCCCCCATGCCATCTTCTCCCTTCTCGGCATTACCATTCAACTCAGCATCTGGTTCCCCCCATGCCATCTTCTCCCTTCTCGGCATTACCATTCAACTCAGCATCTGGTTCCCCCCATGCCATCTTCTCCCTTCTCGGCATTACCATTCAACTCAGCATCTGGTTCCCCCCATGCCATCTTCTCCCTTCTCGGCATTACCATTCAACTCAGCATCTGGTTCCCCCCATGCCATCTTCTCCCTTCTCGGCATTACCATTCAACTCAGCATCTGGTTCCCCCCATGCCATCTTCTCCCTTCTCGGCATTACCATTCAACTCAGCATCTGGTTCCCCCCATGCCATCTTCTCCCTTCTCGGCATTACCATTCAACTCAGCATCTGGTTCCCCCCATGCCATCTTCTCCCTTCTCGGCATTACCATTCAACTCAGCATCTGGTTCCCCCCATGCCATCTTCTCCCTTCTCGGCATTACCATTCAACTCAGCATCTGGTTCCCCCCATGCCATCTTCTCCCTTCTCGGCATTACCATTCAACTCAGCATCTGGTTCCCCCCATGCCATCTTCTCCCTTCTCGGCGTTACCATTCAACTCAGCATCTGGTTCCCCCCATTCTCCCTTCTCCCACTTTTTTCTCATTCCACCTTCTCCCTCTTCCTCCTCCCCCAGCCCGGCCGGCCAGGGAGCAGGGGAGGCAGCATGGACAGAGACAGGACGGAAGGAGATCACCCACGCTGCCACAGGCAGGCGCATGGAGAGGTGGGTGGGCGCATGGAGAGGTGTGTGGGCGCATGGAGAGGTGGGTGGGCGCATGGAGAGGTGGGTGGGCGCATGGAGAGGTGGGTGGGCGCATGGAGAGGTGGGTGGGCGCATGGAGAGGTGGGTGGGCGCATGGAGAGGTGGGTGGGCGCATGGAGAGGTGGGTGGGCGCATGGAGAGGTGGGTGGGCGCATGGAGAGGTGGGCGGGGAGGGGGTGGGGAGGGGGTGGGGAGGGGGTGGGGTGTTGCACACCGGGGTGGGGTTCAGAAGGGTATGCGAATTTTGTCTGAGTTGAGTCCTCATTTACAACGCTGTTCCAGTTGGTTGCACATGCCATATAGAATAATAACTCTAAATATCTGTGATGAATCATGTGTCATGTGCCCGCCCATTGCAATCTCAACTAAAGCCACTTCCTGTCCCACCTTCCCTCAACCCTGCCAGGTTTTATTTCGGTTGTTCCGTTCCGGGCTGCCCGGCGCGAAAAGTTGTGGATGTTCAGCTGCCCAGTTGCCGCCCCATGAGCCCTGCTGTTGTAGATAGCGTGTACTGTGGGGAGGAAGGGGGAGAAGGAGGCAGAGGAGGCGAGGGGGGGGAGGGCTGGGGGAACGAGGAGAGAAGAGAGCGGATGGAGGAGAGCGGTGGGGAGGGCGGGCCTGGGGAAGGGGTGATGACTGGAGGAGCGGGAAATCCAGGTGGGAAGAGGAGAAGAGGGCAATGGCTGGGGGAAGGTGGGGTTTTCGGCACTAAGAGGAGTTGTGCTGAGCCTGCTGCAGCAGGGGCTGGGTACGACTGGGAAGGGGAGGTCACCGGGCAGGTGACGGAAACTTTTTACGGGTTCCATCTGGGGCACACCCAACCGTCCCCCTCCTCTCTCTTCCACTCCGCGCCTACTGCAGCAGCTGCTGCTGCTGCTGTCACTCGTTCCGACGCTCACTTGCCGTCAGCTCAAACCGCCAATGAGACAACCTCTGTAACAGGGTTACCACCAGTGCAGGGTGGTTCTGAGGTGCGTCCATGCCTTGATCAATCCAGCGGTCTCCCATGGGCCCATGGCGGGTGTGAGGTGCTTGCAGGGTGTGGGAATGAACGAAGTCTTGAGAAATCCCAAGGGTCGCGTGCAGGGTTAGAGTCAAATGGGCACGCCAACATCTTGCGAGTCTCTTCTCTCCCACCCAACTCCTCTTTGATGCCCTCACAACCCTCCATCCCTCAACCCCCAACCGACCGCACACACCCCTCCTCGCAGCCTTCCCCCCAGCCCTCACCCGCAGCGTCCCCTGCCTCTTCCAATCTACTCGCCCCTCTCCCACGCTCCCTTGCTCGCCAGAGGCCCGTGGTCTCACTCTCGCCAAACCGGGACAGTTTTCCGGGCAGTTACGAAGGATTAGGGCAGTTTGAAGGGCAGGGAACGGAAGACAATTAGGTCCCTTAGCTTTGATGGAACGAAATGCTTCTGGTTACATGGTAAAAGCAGCGTATTCCAGCCTGCAATGTGCCTATGCACCTCATATTCCGTATCACTCATATCCAGATGGGCTATTCAGAGCTATGGTTGGAGACTCTGCATGATTAGTCACAAATTCTTAAAGCCAGCAGGCAAAATAGTGACCCCCCCCTTCTAGTTGGGTCCACTTGAAGATGAAGCATTTTTGTTTTGTTTTGGAATGTTGGAATGGCTGTATGTGTGCTTTTTTTTCCGACCCTCGGAAGAGTTTCTTCTTGGACCAGGAGCGATAGTTCATTGTCAATTCTGATTGGCAGCCAGGTTCTCTCACATACACATGTGCGAATTTGGCGCAAAGTTGAGCGACGAGCACTCCTGCATTCACTAGAGCCATTACTTCACCAAATTCACAACTAGCAACATCTCACGCTAAATCCCAAGCAGACACACATGTACGTGATGAGAGTGAAAGTGTTTGAACGTTATTAGAGCTAGTAGAGCTCTGATCAATGTGCTGCCTTGGACTTGAGGCCTGGGAGAGGTGCAATAACGGGAAACAGAAGAGAAAAACAGCACTAGGGGGGAAATTATGATGGGCAAGGTGAAGCGAATGAAGAGAAAGAGGGAGGGCGACGGGAAACGGGAGGGCGACGGGAAGGGAGGGCGTAGGAAACGGGAGGGCGACGGAAGAAGGGGGGCGACGGGAAACGGGAGGGCGACCGAAGAAGGGGGGCGACGGGAAACGGGAGGGCGACGGGAAGCGGGAGGGCGACGGGAAACGCGAGGGCGACGGGAAACGGGAGGGCGACGGGAAACGGGAGGGCGACGGGAAACGCGAGGGCGACGGGAAACGCGAGGGCGACGGGAAAAGGGAGGGCGACGGAAGAAGGGAGGGCGACGGGAAACGGGAGGGCGACGGGAAACGGGAGGGCGACGGGAAACGGGAGGGCGACGGGAAACGCGAGGGCGACGGGAAACGGGAGGGCGACGGGAAAAGGGAGGGCGACGGGAAACGGGAGGGGGGCGGGAAACGGGAGGGCGACGGGAAACGGGAGGGCGACGGGAGAAAAGATAGGCGACGGGAGAGAGGATAGGCGGCGGGAGAGAGGGTGTCGAGAGTACCGGTAGATGGAAAGACAGAAAAAACAAACAAACCAAACACAATAACAGAGTACGGAATGGGTCGCGCTGACACGATAGCAGAGGGAGAACGAGAGAGGCGACGGAGAAAGGAGGGCATACGTGATGGGAGAGTCGAAGGTCCCCGGGAGGGCTATTCGAGACGAGCGAGAAGGGAGGATGGGAAGGGAGCAGAAAGAGAGAGGGCAATGGGAAGGGAGCGGAGAGAGAGAGCGCGACGGGAAGGGAGCGGAGAGAGAGCGTGATTCGAAGGGAGGAGCGAGAGAGAGGGCGGAGCGGAGAGAGAGAACGCGATGGGAAGGGAGGGGCGAGAGAGAGGGCGACGGGAAGGGCGCGGAGAGAGAGAGCGCGACGGGTAGGAGGGGCGAGAGAGAGGGCGACGGGAAGGGAGCGGAGAGAGAGATCGCGACGGGAAGGGAGGGGCGAGAGAGAGGGCCATGGGAAGGGAGCGGAGAGAGAGAGCGCGACGGGAAGGGAGGGGCGAGAGAGAGGGCGACGGGAAGGGAGCAGTGAGAGAGAGCGCGACGGGAAGGGAGGGGCGAGAGAGAGGGCGAGGGGAAGGGAGCGGAGAGAGAGAGCGCGACGGGAAGGGAGCGGAGAGAGAGGCCGACGGGAAGGGAGCGGAGAGAGAGCGCGATTCGAAGGAGGAGCGAGAGAGAGGGCGGAGCGGAGAGAGAGAGAGCGATGGGAAGGGAGGGGCGAGAGAGAGGACGACGGGAAGGGCGCGAAGAGAGAGAGCGCGACGGGAAGGGAGGGGCGAGAGAGAGGGCGACGGGAAGGGAGCGGAGAGAGAGAGCGCGACGGGGCGAGCGACGGGAGGGCGATCGGTAGGGAGGGGCGAGAGAGAGGCCGACGGGAGGAGAGGGGGGGAGAGAGGGCGACGAAGAGGGCGACGGGACGGGCGACGAGATGGTGACGTGACGGGCGAGGGAAAGGGAGACGGGTGGGCGATTTGGCGAACTCGTGGATAGCATAGTGGGCGATGAGAGGGGTGAGAGGAATGGCGACGGGAATGGGGTTCTCTGTGATCGCGAGGAAAATATCACTACGCAGCAACGGCGACGAAGTATCACAAACAATCTAATGATAATTTCATTTCTATGCCGCATCAGCCAGGGCTCTCGTTATCAGACCATTTTGGTCTGATGGTCTGATTTTCAGACTCATTTTTTTATGTCCATCTGATTTTCCAATCTAGATCAGACAAAACAATTGTTTTGCCTGGGGGACCCGTCTGACAGAATCAGACGCCCTCAGATCCTAGCAAGAGCCCTGGCATCAGCCTAATCCCTCGTCTCTGGCTATTCTATGCTAGGCAAGCTCCGTGAGTTAGGCAAGCTACGGTACGTGAATGGAGTTGAAGTAAGCATATGTGGAACCCAGGCCCAGCTTGAAAGTCGAAGTCGGGTCCAACCATCAAAACGCACGACAAACATCTGTCGTGCAAATGTCGCATGCAGAAAATGCGAACGCGCGAGCACGATCTGATTTTTTTTTTTTTGGCGGGAACGAATCACGTGTGTTCACTCTGTGGAAGGGCGATGCCCGGATCAGTGTTTTACACAGCCCATCGTCGTTCCAGTTTTGCTTCTTCCGAGCACGATTTCAAGTTGGATCCGCCTTCACTATTTTATATTTCGGTTTTAAACACATGTAGACAAAAAATGCAATAAATAAGCATCCCCAGTTTCTTCGGCCAATAGCTGGCCTCCCGATGGAGCAGCATCACCAAGAGGGCTGACGCAGCTCGTGGATCCAAACCCGCTAACGAATTCATCATGTCAATCCCTGTAAAGCGTATCACTGCATCAAGACTTCCAACCTGTCGGCCAGCGACAGAATTTGTCGCAGCAGCGCGACCTTCTGTTTCGCACAGGCACTCGCAGCCTCCGCGGCTTTCTCGCCCTCAGTCTCGCCGCGCGCAACCTTGCTCCCGCACGCATGGCAGCACACGCCCTTCACGATAATCTTTTGCAGCTTCGGGCAGTGCAGCGCGATCGTCGCAATTGCCCCGGCGTCGAAATCTACGTCGGTCAGAACCAAAACTTCGAGCTCGCGATGGAAAACAGTCGCGCCCGACGCTGCTGCGAAAGGGCAGCTGTTCGCGAGAGCGCCGGGGGTTTGAATCGATCCGCCGAAGAGCTCAAGCAGTCGCAAGCCCGCGCATTTGCGAAGCGCGAAAAGATCGTCGACCTCGAGCCCGCCGTTGTGAATTCGCAGGCACGTCAGGTCCCTCCACGCGATCACCATGAGGTAAATCGCCTGCTTCGTAACGCTGTTTCGCGAAAGGCTCGCGAAATGTCGCACGTTTCGGAAGCCCGAGGTGAGATACCACATGCACCGCGTCTCAAGAGCCCCGAACGACGTCTCTACCCCCCCTGACGTCAGCTCGATGGTCTGAACCTGCTTGCAATAGAGCGAAATAATCCATAAAATACTGCAAATGGACGCTTCGTTCCGGCTCGTGCTGTCCTGATCGCAGTCGATAACCACGTGACGAAGCGACTCGCCGCACGAGACTATAATCGGGTGCAGCACGTGCAGCTCGCAGCGCGGGTCGTCGATGAATAAATCCGTCAGCTGCGCGCAACGCGGCGCTAATTGCTCGACGCCCGCATGCATGCTGCCCGGGCCGATGCGCAGCTTGGTCCAGAACACCCGGCTGTAGCACAGCTTCCGCCACGTGGCGTTCACGCACGCATAGCGACACAGATCCCATGCTGTCGGTTGTCCCTCCTGCAGAATCTTCAACAGGAGATCCTCTCCCAGATCGCGCAACGACGGCCTGTTGGAAGCTTCTTCTGCCCCGGGTAGCGCATCCGTATCTTCCCGCGCCTTGAAGAAGTCTATCTGCTTGGGCGCGCTTTCTGCGGCAGCGGCGGCGGCGGGAGTGGCGGAGGGAACGAATGGGTTCGCGGACGGGGGCGCGAGCGCATTGGAGTCGAATGCGGCGTGAGTTGGGGGAAAGTTAAGGTTCTCGATTATCCTGCGTTTCTTGGATAGCGCGTCGGGGTGTGCGAGGTCGGAATCATTTGTGCGTTGCTCGCGACGAGTTGCCGCAGGGCCCAGCGCAAACAGCTCGGATAGACTGACACCCATGGCGAGAGAGATTGCACAATCCAATGGTTCACGAGTCGTGACGGGAAGGTGAAGTTGCCAGGCTGGGATTCTCAGAAGCAAATCTGCTACGATTTTTCTGGGTGAATACTGCTGAGGAACCACAGCTGGGCTGGCCTTTATGGAGTTGGAGTGACGGGGAGTCTTTGGGGGGATTTGTGAGCTCGAAAGAAAGGGGTGAGGGGCACAGCCGAAGCGCAGAGAATTGCGGGATGAGTGTGGGAGGGAAAAAATGCCCGGCTCGCGAAGGTGACTGACTAGGGGGAGGGATGGACGGGTAAGTCCATGGTGACACTGTTGCTGGCGAATGGATGTGTGGGTGGGGCCCTGGAAGTCGCCCGGCCAATCACTGTCTTTTCTTCTCGGGGCTTGCCTCCCCGACCACACCGAGAGGTTGATGAGGGGAATGTAGTAGGGCGATGGTTTGGCTGGTGAGACGTCTGTAGAAAGGGCTTGATACCGTACCGAACCATACCTAGTTTTATCCAAACCGAACCTACATGGGCGTCGTCTCATCCGACCACACACCGAGGCTGCCTGCCACCCACACCTAGCGCCTCAGACGCGCTTGATGGAGCGGCTTCACGTGCACCCGTCCACGTTCCATACGGTTGCTACAGTGCAGATGTCACTCTAGGGACTGAGGATGTTGTCCATGCAACAAAAAGACAAGAAAGTATGATGCACTTCAATCCCAGTGACAGTTGACGGACTGGGCAGTT